CTCCGGCCGGGGGCCTCGGCTCTCGGGGTGCCCGGCATCCCCGCGCCCGTGACTGCTCCGCTGACCCGGGTCGCTCCGCCGCACCTCCCTCCCTCCCTCCCTCCCCCCCGCGCCCCCAGCCTCGGTCTTTCTCTAGCTCAGCCTGAACCGCGGCTGCCGGAGACCGAGCGGCTGCCCTTCTCGCCGCCGCCGCTGGGGGACTGGCACCACTGGGTCCTAGAGGGATCGGATTTCCGGGGCCGGAGCCTGTGAGCCCTCCCCTTCCCTTCCACCCTGACGCCTCTTCTCTCCTACTCATAGTTGGCGGACAGTCTTCCGCCTTTCCTCGGACCTTGGCTATTCTTCTTCAACCCTCCCATCCCAAACTCGGCGGCTTTTCACAACCCACATAGGCGTACCCTCATTTAACCCTGGGGGCGGGGAACCATCCAGACACAGCAGTCTCCCAGCTGGCTTGATCCTCCCCACAGTGTGAAGGGGTTCTGTGAAGAGGGGCCCTGAATCATTCCCTTAACTGTCCTTAGAGTGTTCAGGGTTATCAGCATCAAAACTGTTGGGTGCTAGGTCAAAGCATATATTTCTAGCTCCTTCCAAACTTGGTGCAGGGAATCTCAGTGGCAGGACCTGGGAGCCTACATTTTAACTACTCCCCATTTCTTATTTTTTTAAAGCCTTCCAGGATATAAAACTTTGGCCCCGCAATACTTGCGGTGCTGAGGAGAAATGAAGAAAGGGATATGGGGGGCGGGGCACATCACTCAAATGGCAGATTACCAAAGCTGCCTTTTGCCTTTGGAAGTCTTAAAATGATGTTCTTCGCCTGCCCACTCTTTTTCCAGGCTTCGGGAGGGGTGTCCAATCCTGGCCTTCGTAACCTGCCAGAGACCTCCTATCTCTCAAAACAGGAAGGGTTGGGAGGGTGTTGGGGGAAGTTGGAAGGAATGAGAGACCTAGGGCCAAAGTTTCCCTATTAAGAGTTCTAGCTTGGGGTCTCGGATTTAAAGGATTCCTGTCACTGTGTACAAGTGTGTGTGTGTGTGTGTGTGTGTGTGTGTGTGTGTGTGTGTGTGTGTGTTTGAGAGAGAGGGCGCGAGAGCACACATGAGCCAGGCAGTGGTGGTGCATTAATTCCAGCGCTCTGGAGGCCGAGGCAGGGAGGATCTCTGTAAGTTCGAGGCCAGCCTGTCTACAGAGCGAGTTCCAGGGCAGTCAGAGCTGTTATACAGGGAAACCCTGTCTCGAAAACAGCAAAAAAACAAAAAAAGAGTGTGTGCATATCCTATAAATCCCTTCTTGAAAACACAACTTTAGAGTTCCTTCATTCCTCACATACACAACATGGGCCTGGTGTTGCCCTTTATCCTTCCGCAATTGCCTGGAATCTGGCAGTGAGGATCCATCCAATTATTATGTTGTTCCAATCTGTAGATCCCAGGAACTGATGAACAGAGTGGACACTAGGACCCAGAGAACAACTCAGGCACAAAGCCTCACCGCCCGCCCCCCCCCCCCCAGCTGCTTCCTGCATCTCAGGCCTTCCTGCAGCCTCGGCCTCCTCCCCCTGCCCCTCTTTCCCTCCATCCTCTTCCTCCTCTTCCCGTTCTCCCACTCTCTCCGGTGGGCCTGGCCGAGCTGGTGGAGGGAGCCCTCCTACCCTTCCATTCTCGGTGTGTGGGTTTTGTGGGACACTAGCCCATAGCACGTGCAAAAGAGCTCAACGCGTGGGGGGATGGGACGTGGGGAAACCGCCTGGGAACCCTGAAGATTGGGATGGGGAGGAGCCAAAAACCACTGGACTGGCTCCCTAGAGTAGTGTGCCACGAGAGGGAAGGTTTTGGCTCTCATCTGGAGCCGGACCTCAGGCTTTCAGATGCCCCCTATATTTTTGCATAGCAGGCAGGAGACTTACCGCTCCCCAGTTCTGCACTTGGGACATTTGTGCAGGGTAAAGAAACCATCCAAGTCCCTCCTCACCTTCTGACCTTTCTTAGAAGCCCTCTTTCCTGAACCAGCTTTAGGACTTGCTCCAAGTTTAAGTCTGGGATTTGAACCCTCCACCTTCCTCCGATTATGGCAGTTGATTGGTGGTTTTGTGTGTGTGTGTGTGTGTGTGTGTGTGTGTGTGTGTGTGTGTGTGTGTGTGTGTTTTCTTTGAGAAAGAGTCTGGAGTACCTCACACTGGCTTAGCCCTAGCCTCAGTAGCCAAGGATGACCTTCAACTTCTGATCTAACTGCCTTCACCTCCTGGGTGCTGAAATTACAGGCTTGAATGATTACTTCCCTGAGTATCTATCTGATTATCTAACCCAGGGCTTTCTGGGTGCTAGGCAAGCACTCTAGCAACTGAGCTACGTCTCCAGCTCCCACTGTGGTAGTTGGGCAAAGCCCTGCTGCTCACCCCATTGCTAGCTGGGAATCTGAGCAGAGTGTCCTTACAGCTCCTGTGTGGATTGGAGGAGGGCGCAGGCCCCTGAGTGTTCTGCCCAGAATCTCCCACACTCTTTGTGGTGAGTCATCTTAGCTGGTTCCAGCCCAAGGGGTCTGTGCCCACACTCGGGGGGCCAGGTGGAAAGACGGGTTGAGAACCAGCTGTTGGCCCCTTCCCCCAACATCCTTGGCAGCAGAGAAATAGAAGGCGAACTGGACTTAAAATAGGTACCTTCAGGTGTCCCTTGTCTGGAGATTTCTCAGAGTGAGACCCCTTTAAGGGATGTGAGAAAGCAAAGTGAGCATGGAGCTTGGGTGACGGAGGCTAATAAATAGAGATGATTATTTCCAGGGCTCCTAGATGCAACACCAAGCTAGGACTTAGGAAGACGCTTTAAGGGGAGCCACTCTTCCTTCCTTCCTTCCCTTTTTTTTTTTTATTTTTTTTTAATTTCGAGACCAGATTTCTTTGTAGCTTTGGAGCCTGTCCTGGAACTAGCTCTTGTAGACCAGGCCTCGAACTCACGGAGATCCACCTGCCTCTGTTTCCAGAGTGCTGGGATTAAAGGCGTGCGCCACCACCCGGCAGCCACTCTTTCTTTCCTTGGAGTCAGGCACCAAACAATCTGCCCATGAGAAGGGTGGGGCACCCGTGTCACTGGTGTCACCTCCTCCATCCTGTCCCAGCCATCATGTTCACCCATTCCCACCTGTTTAGCATCCCAGGATAATTTAAAACGTTGGGTCTCCCCAGGGCCCATGTGGTGGAAACTTCGATTGTCACAGTCACCGTACCTGGTGGTCTTGGGGTGGAAGTTTCCTCCATTCCTTGGCTCTGTGTGGGGGTGGAGGTGGAGTGGTTCCCCAAGTGGAGCCAGGATCTAGGTCTTGACTGTGTCACTTATGTCTGTGTGGCTCTGCAGAAGTCACCCATCTCTTCTGTGCTCTGAGGGGGTAAAACTGAGGCCTGGGAGAGTGGCCAGCACCTGGGACGCCTATGACCAGGGGCAGGGGAAGAGAAGCCTTCCCAGCAATGGCTAACCGTGGGAACTGCAGCAGGCAGCCATAATCCTCCCTCTCTCCCGACCAAGCTCTTCTTGTTTTCTTACACCCCATCTGATGAGGGCCCTCTGGGAAGGTGCTCTTGCAGGATCATGCCTGGAGGCCTGCTGGCTTTAAATGCCAGGTGTCACAGCAAAGATGGCGATGAAGACGGGTGGGGAGAACCTGATGTACGATAGGTTCCCAGCCTTCAGCACCCTGGGTTCGGGCCTGGGCAGGGTGCCAAGGCTGGCTGCTCTTCCCAGCCCTGGGCCTTGGAGACAACTTCTGAAAGTAGGTTGTCCCCCCCCCCGCCCCCACCGCCGCCGCCCCCGGCTACTCACATCAGAGAAGCTGCCCCTTTGCCTGGTCCATAGCACTCACCCCAATTCCTCTGTGTTGTTGGCCAGGTCCTTGAGCTAGTTCTGGGACCAAGGAGGATATGCTTGTGTTCCCACACTTCCAGATAGGAGAGCTCAGCTCTAGCTTGGCATTGCCTGAGAGGGTTAGAGTCCCTTGAATAACCTAGTCACAGGGGACCAGAAGGAGTGAGCAGTGGACCATAGTTCTAGAGGCCCAGCTAGGTTTCTACAGGTCTGAATTGATTCCTGGCTCCTCCCATTTTCTAGATGGCCTTGGGCTAGTCATTTTGGATTCCTTAGTTGCTAACCACGCTCAACTTGAATGTCTGAAATCTTCTGACCGTGGATGACCCTGGGTGTCTCCCACTTCCTGTGGAGCACAGAATAAAACAGGGCTTTGAAGTCGGGCCATTTTTGTTCGAACCCCCAAGCTGCCACTTCCAAGCTCAAGGACTTGGCCAGATTTCTTCATCTGTAAGCCGGAGACAATACACCAACCTCAAGGAGCCGCTGAGGGCACTAAATAGATCCCGAATGCGGAGAGCACAGAGGTGCTGAGTGTGTGGGCTGTCCCCGACTGCACGTGTATCGGAGCATGTATGGGGGTGCACATGCAAGAGTGTGGGCAGGCGTGTGGCTGAGAATGAGCACCGGCGCCTGCAGCTCAGGTCTGTTTTCACGAGACTTTGGGCCTCTGCTTTCTTCTCAAGGTCCCTTACGTGAAATTCTGGTATGTAAGCATTTCTGCCCGTGACTTCTCCAAGTCCTT